CAAACCATGGTTACTAGTTCTTTTCCCTTCAATTCGGTTTCCTTTGTCATCCCAGTTGAGGTTTGACATCGCATACTGTAATGCTGCCGTGAACAACTTCGGGGATATCGTGTCTCCTTGCCGTAATGTTTTCTCAAAGGGTGTATATAACTTGCGCTCGAAGAGTTGAACGGTCATTGATGTGTTCGAGAGACTGAGACGAGTGTAGGCAGAGGTGACCCCGGCTTGCACCAGGGCGTCGAAAAAAGCATCTATCTCTGCAGGTTCCGAGACCTTTTTGTAGTCCACGAAGACAAGGACAAGACGAAGATAGCACTCGCGGCTCATGAGCTGAATTATCGCCTGTGTTTTGTCCATGCAAGAAAAATTCTTGCGGAAGTCGTCCTGTTTCACTGGCTGATAGTCGTCTAAGGCGTCTTCCACACGGTTCAGTAGCCTTCAATCTATGAATGGATTCTATATCAGGGAGAGCATACTGATAGGCCGGTACTTGGCGAATCTCCTCCCTCTCACCTTACCTGAATAGAAGAACAGTCGTTGATTGTCTCTATTTGCTTTGGAATCATTCCTAGTCTTCAGAAGTGATTGAAGTGCAATAAGAGAAGTAAGAGAAGAGAATAAAGTTAATTCCTGCACGGAGGAGATTGGCCGTTTGCCATCGGCATCAGAAGTAGTTCCTTTCTTCAAGCTTTCATGCATGTTTTTTGCTTTTTGCCACCTCTGATTCCAAGATTGGAGGAATCTCTTCAGCAGGCGGTAAAGAGCATCTTGAAACAGTCGTGGAAGAGCGGAAATGTTGTGTGTAGAATTCCCTGACGATGTTTGCGATAGATCTTCTATATGTTTGTGCCTTTCATCTTTGTCCATAAGTGCTGAAGTGAAAATCTTTTGAACACTGAGATCCCTTTACACCGAACGCTCGATCTTGTTTCCTAAGTTTTCAACAACCTAATTCTTCTGTAGACCAGAAATAGTTCTCTGACAGCGAAGCGGCACACATTGTTGATGGTGACATATTTCAAGCACCCTCTCCCCTCGCTCGCCGTCAAGAACTGCCCCTGCCGTGATTACCACAACGATGGAATGCCCTGCTGCTACGTCGAATAGGCTCCAGCGTCGATTGGTTAGATGTGATCAAATTCTTTCCGCGTTTGTCCATCGGGCTTTTTCACGTCCTTGTCGTCTTATAGGGTTCCCCCCGCTCATGAAATTTCCGTGGTAAAAGCAGCATGTAGACGAAAAGGTGAGTAGCTGTTCATTCTCATTTCGCAGTTGGATTCGTGAGGCTCGAGTCGCCAACCGACGTCGTCGTGCCTAACATGGCATTAATATTGCCAAGAACATATTGTAGGTTTCTCTCATTCTGAACAGTCCTGTCTCTTCTAGAAATTAGTAGCATCCTTCGCTCTCCTCGCGTGTGGCTAAGGAGATTAGCATGTATCCGCTGATAATAGATATGGTACCATTATTTTTGTTCTGTAGACGTAGAACAGTGACGTTCATCAAGGTTTGGTGAGAGCAACTAGGTGGGCGTCAGTCGGGTGTACGAGAGAACCAACCCTCCGACATTTCTGCCATCCGCCTTGGTCCTTAAGAGCAGGTCGGCTGTGGTCGTTTTTTAGTGGTTTCATTCTGCCCATCGTCCCCCTGTAACGGATGGCGTATTATTTGTTCTGAGGACTCCTCATCGAAGCGTTTGAACTTCAGCTTCCGAAATGATGGCGCGACAATGATACGCGCAGACGAACAGGCAGTCCTTACGTCCCTGGATGTGGAAGATTCCAGGGTACCTATTTCGGTTATTTCGATGACGTAATGATTCCCTGGAAAGATAAGCCACTCATCTGTAGAGGCTACCCCAGATGTTGGAAAAGAACATAAGCGAGTGCTCTAGTAAAGCAGTTAAGCGTTGAGCAGATGTCCTAGACTCGATTATCCTTTGTTCCTTGCTAGGGATGCAAGAGACCCGCCCACACATGCACGCCGTACTATGCGTACTACGCAGGCATTTGTACCATTAGCCACCACTAGGTGATGTACATCTTATCATCATTGTGAAGTGATACATGAAAGGGAGATTGGTAATACTGTTGCAAAACTTCTGGGACAACGTTGTATACTGCATTCCGTGACACTATTAGACATCTTATTTCGCTGACGTTTCAAGCAGTCTGAGTGGAAATCCGATCTAATTTGAATTCTAAAAAAAGTTTGACGGGGATCGTGTCCAGGCATCCAAAACTATATACATTTTTAAGGTCCTAGAATCGAGTCCCATATACTGAGTCTGCTGAGAGGATAGAATAAGCTCCCTTACAGTATGTATAGCTAACTCAAAAGTCACAACTGCCATAAAGTATACTCCATATCCTGCAAATGCGGAGGGCGTGACTGCGAATACCATTTGGACGTACTTAGGACTTTACTTTTGCTGTGATACTGTCTTTTTAGGACAATTGTAAACATGTCTTCGCTTAGCACAAGTCAGGTTGACAGATGCAAATATCTTTTGGAAAACTTATCATCACCCGTTGTATATGATTTGCTTCGCCTTGTTTGTTGTTTGTTTGTTTGTTTGTTTGTCCGGAAATTCGGTTCTACCAGAAGAACAACTTGGAGAGGTGGGGTCAAGGTGGGGATGGGTAGGGCATGGGGCAAGATGTAAATAGCACCCGTGACCCATGCTAAGCCCCGCCCACAGTGGGCGGGGCATGCGCCGAAAGTTGGCGGAGCCGCAGAAAAACTCATAACTCGCTTCCAGAGCAGCCCAGAGATGGGGAAAAAGTGGAATAAGGTTAGCAAGGGGCTGTCGATCAGGAGACATGTCCGAAATAGACGGGGGCGTCCTTGAGATAGGCGGTGCTTCCCGAAAAATTCATTAACTCGGTTCCAGAGAGAGAGTTTAGAAATCGCAAAAAAGCCTGCCCAAGGTGGGCGGAGACAGACAAAAGTTCTGTAAAACACGGAATTGGATGGTCAGGAGGGATCATTGTTTGATGCGGCACACAGCCGTTGTAGGCGGAGCGTGGCGAGGTGGCGGAGCCATACGCAGAAATATGGAATGGCGTGGCTAGGCGGCGGAGCCATACGCAGAAATATGGAATGGTAAAAATGTGCAAGGAGCTCCGCTATTGAAGCAAGATTTACGCGCCCATTCTGTGCGGAGCTGTGTCGATGTTGTGGGCGGGCGAAGGTCAAAAATTCACGAATTAGTTGCAGAGCAGCATAGGCACCGGGGACAGGTGGATTGAGGTCCACAAGGGGTCAGCGGACGAAGTGGAGGAGACATCTCAAAAATGGGCGGGCTGCTTTCGAGATGGGCAGGCTCTTGCTGAAAAATTTCGTGGTTCGCATCTGAGTGAGCTTGGAGATCAGGAAAAACTTTTGGTGAAGAGAAACGTTCAGATGTCTGTGGTGTGTTGAGACCCGCCCACAGTGGGTGGAGCGTGTTCTCAAGCAGGGGGTCCTACTTTCACTGCGTTTTAGTGCATAGGCCGCCACACTTTTGAACACCTGTTGTCACACGTACATTTGATACCAGTCGGTTCGCTGGCTGACGCCGGCGCGACTCCTTTTCTAATAGGGCCAGGCTTTGCCGGTTTTGCTTACTTCGTCGCGCCCACCTGCTTGCGTATGTTTGAATGCTCAACTAACATCCGGTTTCTCTCTCATCTGCGCATTTGATCAACGCTGCTTCATAGATGGTAATAGTGTCGAAAATAGTAGGCATGATGTTATTGCTCAAGGAGCGTTGACTATGTGTACAGGTGAAATAAAAGCCGGATAATTGTTGAGTATCCAGTGTAGAAGGAGGTAAGCGCGGCGAAGCCGCGCCCGCCCGGCGAAGCCGGGCCGTATCACGGAAGGAGGCGCGCCGGCGTCAGCCGGCGAGCCGACTGGTGAATTATGTTCAAAGGCAATTCCCGCGACCACAGCTTCATAGGTAATACAGTTCAAAAATAGAACTTGCCGTGTGTTTGTTGACTTATTGAAGGAGAAGGAAGCACGAAAAAGGCCCACGGTCACTGGAGGCCGGCATGGGCCTATCGGGCGCAAATGGGCCTAAAACCTGAGCGCCCTGCGTTTTGCTTGCTGTTTTTCAACTTTTAAAAGTAGCATACCCTCTGACGTTGCCCTTGACCGTCGTGCACGGTCATCGCGGAACGTGCCTCTAAAAAAATATGCAGTTGGATCTTCCCATCGAGCCTATTGTAGCGGACGAACTTGCGTTTCTCTTGCACTTACCCAATAGTTTAACCATAGATTAAAAGATGATAAAGGATAAAGTCTTCGCCGTTGATCAATCCCTTTGTGGGATGCGGCACGCATTCTACTTCCATTCAGAATCGTAGTGGCTTATTGAATGCGATGTGGCCTATACAATGACTTGCGGGGCCAGCCGATGTACAAGTCAGTGTTTTATCCTCCCAGACGAATCTGGTACCAATTTACCGTCCCCGGGGGTAGAAGGCTTGGTTGGCCTGGGCGGGTGTCGACCCGGGATTCGAACCCGGCGCCGCGCGAGTGGTAAGCGCGCCACTTGTCAACCTTAGGTTATACGTATTCCTGGCACGACTGGCAAGGGATCATCTGTGATGTTGAGTGTATTACTTTCCCCAATATTTGTTTCTTTGTTTCTAATTGGTAGGAGAGTAGAACAGCTGTTTCTTAATTACCCCTCACCTCTTTCCTCTATTCCACGCTTTCGAAGCGATGTGTAATTCAGAAAGAGCTGATCAGCTCATCGATGAGCTCCATCTCACATAGATCTGGCGCCCACTCTGCCCCTTCTACATGGAGAGTGTATCTTGGAATTTTTATAGGATTGTTTTTCACTGATGAGTACCAAATAGATTAGCGCTACTAAACTGTCTAGTATGGATGTTGCTACGTTACCATCTATGTACAAATATTTCTGTGCTGTCCTTTCCACTTAAACTGTTCAGACGGTTCATTTTGGCATTCCGACTGCGGATATTATTCGTGTATTATGTGCCTGTATGAGTGGCAAAGAACGGAGAGAGAACTGGGAATCGCTTCTTGAAAAATTTTATTCATATCTCGAGGAAGAAGTACAGGATCATGAAGTGCCCTACACCTTTGACATGGTAAGGCAACTTTCAAGATCAGAATTTGTCAAATAATTGAATGTTTCCTCCATTTTAGTTGAAAGAGGCCTATCGACAGTGTTTCCCTTTTTGCGCTTTTATGGTTGTGCCCATGATTGGGCCGATGTTCCAAATGAAAAACACTAGCAATGATGACGAATACAAAAGAAAGGTCAGTCGCCCCTAACAAACCGTCTCGTTTGCTTCAGATGCTAAGGTAGTCGGGAGGTTGGGTGTGGCGCGGTGCTATTTTGCAGCCAACTATTGTCGCTTGTCAGCTCCAACAACTTGGTGGACAACGGACTGTCGCCGCATCAAACCTAGCCTCCTGATCAGGGCTCGCAGTGATGAATTCCTGAAAAATAGCACCCCTCCCCCAATTCCATCCTTGAATACGACCCTCCCCTCCCCATTCTACCTACCACTTTCCCAGATTTTCCCAACTTCCTTTCACTTCTTAGAGTTTTTCCGGAAAAATTCCTAGTTTTTCCCCTCGTAGTTTTGTTCCTTTCGAAAAGTTTTCCCAACTCCGCAAATTCCTCTCAGGGACTAATACGCCCCCCCTCCCAATAACGGCCAGGCATGACCCCGTCTTTATAGTGTCCGTGAAACAAGAGAAATCACTCATCGAAAAATCGTTTTCTCGGACCAAATACAACCTCCCTCCCTCGCAGTCAGATACGACTCCCCATTGTGATCATCACAACGATGACGTGCCCTGCTCCTGACACTGTCTCTACCAGTCGTTCTTGAAAAGGCTTCTCTTCGACAGGAAACGTGTCTGTTGGAGCTTCATTACCAGTACAAATGTAAAATCAAGGTGTTATGGTAATTTCTGAGATACCCCAAGCCGCAGACAGTCACGCGAAGCTTGGTTTGCCTTCGAATTTCCGCTTTTTCTGCACTGGGATCTTTCGCAACATTCCAGGATATCCAATTAATTTCACTGGATTTCAGGTTGAGAAGGTGATCCTCGAGAAAGTTGAGTGTCTGCTGGACGACATTTGCCAATTCCATCGCGAGAACAAGGAACGCAAAGGCGCCTGACTTTCATTGTAGCTATTAACTTTAGTGTTACATCATTTATTAGGTTGAGGAAATATGTACAAATTGCGTTTTTGATCGCAAAACAGATTCTGATATAATAGCAACAGTTGAGCAACTGAAAGGATAACCTCCATGATTGTCACCTACTTCTCTCCATTTCCCCACTGAGTGATAGATAAACCTCTCAACAAACTCGCTCGTGTGTGAGCTGAAGAATTTCAACATCCATACTCCGTTTTCTTTGATGTTTTTTGAATTTCGTTCTTAGCCGGTGAATGTTGTACACACAATATTCCCTGAGATGCGGTAGGCGTGGCCGCGCTCTCGAATCAAACGTGACAGCGGTCGGGCTTTTCGTGAGTTATTATTTTTTGGGGTAATTGCAGTCATGTTTTCGTCCAACACAGAATATAATGAATGCTCTCCCGAATTGAAGTATCCTACGAGTGGCTCCCGTATGCCATATTGAAGAGCCGCGCCTACTCCGTCTCAGGGATAAGGGAGTATAGAGCGTAACCGAGAAACATAATAAGGCAAAAGATGAGGCACACCAATTCTTTATGGCTACTTGAGAACGAATTTCCCTCCTAAGTTTGTGTGGCTTTTCCTAAATGATCCTTGCGTTACGTCCTTAACACTGTCGCGAAAGTTGTTTTGGTCACCCCCAGTTGACACACTTTTCCCTTCTCAGTTACTGTTGTCAGTGTTATGGACGTGTGTAGCTGTGTCGTGTTAGCTTTGTCACCGTTACCCCCCGCTCCCTACTTGAGAACGTCGTGTATAACAAAAATAGACATAAGTGTCTACCTTGTCAACATAAAATCCGATGCTCTAGTCGAAAGGGTAGTGCAAATCAAGGAAACGTCGCGCCCACTGCCGCGTGCGACGGAGCGGCAATTTGGGATTCTACTGCCTCTTCCCCTCCAAAATGTTAAAGTCAGTTGGCACGAAATCCCTAAAACCGAGTAGGATTAGTGCGCTGGCAGGACGGAATTCCGCGACCCTGAGCAGGCGCTGCGTAGCGCCTTTTCCAAGGAAGGTACCCTTATAAGGCCCTATCAAGCTACAACATACCGACCCAAACGCCCACCACGCCCGCCCGCCCACAAATGGACGACCGTTCCTGATGCTCGTATTGCTTCATTTGCTAAGTAAATTATGAAGCGAAGGGATTGGTATGAAGCGGCTGCGGTGCCGCGTGGATATATGTGTACATACGTGCAGCCATATTTACCGTAGCGGTTATTGGCAGGATGCCTACAGGAGACTCGTCCCAAATTCTTTCCTACATTAAGAGCGAAGATTCTTCTTTGCGGGTTTTTTTTACCCTTTCACTTCGATTTTTCGCAATTTTCCCCACCATATAGCGCACCTATTACCATTTTAGACCGAGTACCTAATTATCGTGCCACATCTGCCTTTAACACATTGAACGCCGCGTGAATTGTCGGCAATACACGCGCATACTCCCGTTTCTCGCGTTTGTGTATTGCCCACAATTCACGTTTTGTGGATCGGTTTTTTCGTGGATAAGAGTGCGACTTGAACCATTCTCACCGAGTATATGTTCAGTGAGCTTTGCTTATGCTTAGTTCTTGATGGCGTGAAATAAGCTGCTCATTGAAGTAATTCATTAATATTACAAAATAACAGT